AGAATATATGCAGTGTATTATTTGTTGAAACTGTACTTTCGATTTGATTTGAAACTGTCTCATTGCTATATGTTTATCAATAAAACTTTGAAAAAAAAAGAAATATTTTTATATCACTTCTCACATATTGCTTCTTCAATTTTATTTTATGGCTTAAACATAATAAATGCAATTTATACTTAAACCAAGAGAAAAGTAAAACCCCGGGGCTGAGCAGATAGCTCAGTAGAATAAGCACTTGCCTGGCGAGCACAAGGTCCTAAATTCAATCCCTGGTACTGTAAAAAAAGAAACAAACAAAAAAAACAAGCACTGCTACTTTTTACCTGCGAGCAGGCGCAGAGGCTGGGGATTTGATCCCCAGGCTTGCAGTGCCGGCCCCAACCCCAAGGTGCACTGAGGGGGCAACTGAAATTGGGCGTGGTGGCGCACACCTGTAATCCCAGTTTTTGGGAGATTGTCAGCAGGCAGATCATTACAAGTCCGATCTAGTAGTGAGACCCTGAACATCCTGTAGACCCTTCCCTAAAATACAAAAAGAAAAGTAAAAAGAAAACCCTAGAGATTAGTGCTCTGCTACTGAGCTCCAAGCTAGGCCTTTTTATTTTTGAGACAGGATCTTCTTAGGGTGTCCAGAATGGGGCTGTAATTATAATCTTCTTGTTTCAGCCTCTAAGTAGCTGGGACTACAAGAGCGCCATCACCCCACCTGGTTATTATTACCTCTTCTGTGGGAGTTGGGGAAAGTACTGGTGATTGAATCGAGTACCATCACAGTGAGCTGTACCCCTTTTACAAATTTTTAATGTTGAGACAGAGTTTTGCTAAGCTGCTAACATGCCCATTTTGGGCTCAAGAAAAAACAGACAGATGTCTAGGCATATTTGAATTACCCAAACTAAATAAGAAGATAGTCCAGAAACAAGCAATGAAATTAAGGCACTAAAAAAAAGAAAAAAGGAAAAAAGGAAACAAACAAAAACTATCAACTAAGAAAAACCCAAGACCCCATGTATTCACTGCTGAATTCTGCAAGAACTTCAGGGAGGATCTAACACTCACTCCCTTTAAACTCTGCAAAGAAACTGAAAGGGAAGGACTACTGTCAAACTCATTCCTTGAAGTTAGCATCACCATGACAACAACTTCACAAACAAAGAAAACAACACACTAATCTTCTGAACAAACATAGATTTAAAAAAAAAAAAATCCTCAACAAGAAACTGGCAAACAGAATGCAACAAACAATTAAAAAGGTTATACAACATGACCACGTTGGCTTTATCTCTAGGTTCAATACATATGTTATGTTTTGTGTCTAGATATCTCCCCAAAGCCTCTTGCAGTCACAGGGCTTTTTAGAGGTTGTGAGCCTAGTGTGTGACTGATTCACAGTGCAGTGCTGGGATTAAGGCTGTGAGTCCTACACACTCAGGCTAGGGAACGAGCCTGCATATAATAAAAGGAACAGAAAGAGTTTGGTTTCTTCTTCTTTCTTGCTGATTTTGGTGTCTTCTGCCACCATGCCACCCTGATCTAGAGCTAGGAGATTACTGACTGAAACTTCCATAAATGATGAGTGAAATGTACCTTTCCTCCTTTAAATTTGGGTGTTGGGTATTTTGTCTCAGCAATGAGAAAACTAAGACATCATTCTTTAAATAGTGAGGCCTTACAGTGCATCAAAATCCTTTTCCTAAAGATTAGTAACTGGAGCATAGGCAAACTTTAAGTTACTGAGACACAAAACCATTAGTAAGAATGATTCAAATTTATACCACAACAGAGTTATGTATCTATATGAACTACCTTTGTTAAGTCCAGTTCTAATATATTCTAATGTCCATTAAAGAAATAGGATAAAATAGTTAGCAACTTCTTATATTGAAATAAGAAAGTCATTGTTTGTATCCTAACACCAAAGTCTGTTTGGAAAGAATGATTCTCTGTAGCTGGGTTGACTTTATGAACCCTCAATGTGGACAGTGAAGTCAGTTAGAGATCACAAAGTACAATCACATCTTTAACTTGGGACTGGTAACATGAAATTACAATGCTGAGCCCCTGGGAAAGATCATCCTTCAGCATGCATCCTATGTAGCAGTCATCACTGTTACACTGACCAACACATTAGCTGCTTAACAGAAAGGCTCAAACCTGGTCTTGCCTCTTTTACCATTTGAGATTATACAGACGGAAGCACAGACAATGTTTGTCCTCAGAATTTTTTTTATTTTTTTATTTTTAGTAGGGGTCTACGGGGTTACAGGGTCTCAGGGTCTCAGTACATAGATGGACTCACAGTGATCCACTTGTGTTCAGCCTCCCAAAGAGCTGGGATTACAGACTTGCGCCACCATGCCCAGTCTCAATCACCAGCTGAGCATAGCCTGGGTGGCAGGCGCTTTAATCCACTGAGCTATTTGGCTGGCCCTTTCCTCAAAAAATTTTGCCTAACCTTAAAAGTTTAGCTTTAAGTTATTATACAGTCTAAGAATAGCTTGTTTATAACCAGCTAAAATATATATATATATTTTTTGGCTTTGCATTTTATTTTTTTAAGGGCGGCAACATCTTTACTTTTACCTGCAAATGAACATCAGCACATCGAGGAGCAAGTTCTTGAGTCCTATCACGTAATGAACATCTTTATTTTTTGAGACAGGGTCTATGTAACACAGGAAGCCCTGGGTCTTATATGTAGCCCAGGCTGACCATGACATAGTGATCCTCCTGCCTCAGCCTCCAGTGCTGGGATTGCAGGCATGCACCAGCACACCCAGCTCATCTAGTCATTTTGGTTAAAATAAACCAAGCGCAGCCCACGCAAGTACATTCAGCATCACTGTTCTAATTCTTCTTCAGAATGTGTTATTTTAAGGCAGGCTGCTGTGTCACACAAGTTACAGACACCAGCTAAAATATTTTTAAAAGTAAATATTAAGTTACGATTGATTCTAAAAGGCTAGCCAGAAAGTAATTTCATTGGCCTATACTACATTATTAAAGCAAACAGAAATATCAAGTCAGAAATATAAATTTTTATTCACCTGGTCCTGGCTATTTTGACAGCCATCAAGTCTTTTCTGCTCTTCCTTTGATGTCACTTTGAAGTCTGGTTCTTCTGAAAAATGTACACATTGTAAAATAAACTACTTAGAACAGTTCTACAAAATGTCTTTATAAATTGAAAAAAAAGAGAAAAATTAATAATACAAATTTATTTTCTCAGTTAAGAATTTGAATTAAGCCTAATTTTTAGCTGAGTATTTATATACTTTTAGCCACCCCTAAATTTACAAATCTGGTGGAAAGCCACTGCATGTCACCACACTGAAGACATATAGCTTCTTAAAGATTCATTACGAATTCATTCACTCAGCACAGATTAACTTTCCAAAATACTTAAATACCAGAGAAATACATAAATCCAGCCTACACATTATTCTCTACTCATCACAGCTACTTTTAAACAACACTGTGGTGTGCTATCATTACTGGTCTCTAAAGTTACTATTAACTTCTTACACCTTTATCAATAAGCACCCTTATGGGCTGGAGAGATGGCTCAGTGGTCTAAAGCACCTACTTAGAACAACTTCAGCGAAGCACAGGGACCACGGTTCAATCCCCCAGCACCACATGCCAGCCAGCCCACCCCCTGGTGGGCTGAGTTGGCCACACACACACACACACACCTCTCTCTCTCTCTCTCTCTCTCTCTCTCTCTCTAATAAAAAAAAAATTAAAAAAAAAATAAGCACCCTTATATCTGAGATGTCTTCATTCTTCTTGTAACTTTTTCAATCTTTTTTTTTTTTTGAAGACTCAGTCTATAAGGGCTGATGAGATAGCTCAGTGTAGTTTTCATAATAGTGATTATTTATTTATTGTTTTTGGCGGAACTGGGGATTAAACTCACACCCTTGCGCTTGCCAAGCAAGCGCATATTCTACTGAGCCATCTCCACAGCTCTATAGTGAATTTTTATTTTTTAAATTTTTTTCCGTAATTATTGACAAATAGCAATGAGACAGTTTCAAATCAAACTGGTAGGACAGTTTCAATAATTAACACATTGCATACTGTCTTCCTAGTGGTTATCTGCTGTAAAAGATGCAGACATGATATCCTATTTACAAACACTATTACAACAAATCCCTCTATTCATTAAGAAAATGTAACTACATATCTATCCTAACCATGTTGAATAAACAGATAGAAAATGGACATTCATTTATACATCCCCTTTTTTGTTTAGTTCCCTCATTTGAATATTATAGGTGTGTTAACTCAGCAAAAACATTCTAAGAGTCCAGTAATCCATAATACTACTGGGTCTTACGCTTGACTGGCAGTGTCAGAAATTGTTGACCTAAGTTCCCTAAAGCTCAACATAACATGTGAATTTTATTTATTTATTTATTTTTTTGTGGTACTGGGGATTGAACTCAGGACCTTGCACTTGCCAGGCAAGTGCTTATTCTACTGAGCTACCTCCCTGGCCCGTGAATTTTTATTAAATGAAGAAACGAGAACTGGCCAAATAGCTCAGCGGATTAAAGCGGCTTCTTAGATGCAGGGGCCAGGAGTTTGATCCCCAGCCTGCTGTGCTGGCCCCGCCCCCAGGGTGCACTGAGAATGGGATTGAGACTGGGCATAGTGGTGCACCTCTAATCCCAGCACTTGGGAGGCTGTAAACAGGAGGATCACTATGAGTCTGATCTATGCAGTGAGACCTTGTACACTCTGTCTTAGATACAAAGAAAAAAAAAGAAGGAAAAGAAAAAATGTGTAAAACTGAGTCGTTGGAGAACTAGACTATTTTTCAAAAGATATCAGTGAGATGTAAAATGATCTTCTCAAATTTGTTTGTTTTACCTATTCCCATGTTGAGGGAACTCATCAAGTGTTTAGTTTGAAATGTCCTGTTTCTTGAGTTTACCAAGTTCATCAACACCTAAGAGCAGGGCTGGGGTGAAGCTCTGTCAGACAGTGTATGCTCTGCACATGCAAGGCTCTGAGTTTACTTGAGTTTAATCTCCAGCAGGAGAAATGGGGAGAGAGGGAAAGAGAAAGGCATTAAAAAAAATTCAGGGAATGTTAAACATTCTTGGGCTGCCAAGATAGCTCAGTGGACTAAGCACCTGCTTAGGCAAGCACAGGGACTGGGGTTTGATTCCAGCGGAACATGCCTTGCCAGCCCTGCCCCCAGGCCCGCTGAGCTGCCCCTTTAGTCTGGGTGTGGTAGTGCATGCTTGTAATCCCAGCACTGGGAAGGCTGAAATCAGAAGAATCACTATGAGTCCAAGCTGCGCAGTGAGACCCTGCACAAGATACATTAAAACAAAAAGAAATAAAAAAAGATGGGATTTTGTTATGCTGCCTATAATGCTCTCAAATTCATGGACACAAGTGACCCCTGTGTCTCAGCCTTTCAAATAGCTGGAGCAACAAGTCCTTTTGAACTACTGATTGGTAAGGACTTGGCTGAGGAGACCCTAAATAGAAAATTTACATGATTTCCACTAATACTTTGAAAATCAATCTATATAAACACAGAAATTATAAGAAATAATTTAATACATGGTTTTAGAAGGTTCTTTTTTGACTTACATTGCACATATAAATAATGCCTGTGAATTCAGAGCATTCAGAGTAATAATAAAGTGTTGTATCTGAGTAGTAATCTGTAGGTCTCTAGTTTTTCCATTAACTCCTGAAGCTCTCAGTATCTTGGCACTACCTCTCAGGTTTATGCTAAATACTTGTCTAAACAAAATTACTCTTCCTTCAAATTTTATTATCTGTACCTTGCTTTGGATAGAGAAAGAATACAATTAACTACCTTGTGAAAAGATACTGTTTGGCTGTCATTTGCTAAGGAGGAGGAGTAAAACAAAGCAAATTGTACCACCAAATAATTTCTGAACAGGCGGAACTACAGTATTATAAAAACATGCACAGGGGCTCTAGGCTGACTTCACCACTCTTCTTTATTACTTCCTTTGTGCTGCTTTCTGGTTGCTATGATTCATACAGCATGGTGAATACAATTGCCTAAGAGAAACACAGCTCTAATATGTTTGTCTCTGTTGCCTATTAAGGTTGTTTTCCCAAATTCTGGGGATGGTGATGGACTTCCAATCACTGATTGTGTTATATGTGGAAACTTATCATAAATTTTCAAATTTTCTGATGCTTGTATTTTACCTCTTTCAGATTTATTTTCTAGTACAGTGTCAGTAGACCTACATACTTAAAGAAAGCTCTGTAGAATCTGTATTAATTTTTAATAGTATAAATGGACTTAAGGACAGAGCTTCAGAACGACTGCTTTGCAGGTCTGCGTGTACCAGTCACCAAGGAATGATTATATCCCCAGTTTTCTTATACAAAGATATGAGACACCGTAGTACACACTCGGTGCTGATGAGAATATCTGTGTGCTTATAATCATCAACATTGAGATGAAATAACTAAAGTTGAAACACAACTGACCTGTTAATAAGCAAAGCTGTACTCTAGGTAACTATCAGATTTACAGTAAGCATTTTTTGTTGTTTTTAGGGAGGGGATTCTGGGTACCAGTAAACCTCCTGAGTTAAATGCACCACAGGGCAGCTCTCCAGTAAGCATTTCCACAAACTTTGGCAAAAATCTTAGAATCTTGTAATAAGATCTGTGGATCTAAACCAGGAACATAGAGTACTGACATATAAGTAGAAACATCTTAACATATTTTTTAAACATCTTAACATATTAAAAATTTTTTCTCTTATGCTTATAAACACTAAATTTACACATGAACACCAACAATTACATCACTTGCATTACTTATATCAAAGCCTTGCAAAAATTTAGGGAAAAAATGAGATGACTTTGGGAATTTCACACAATTTAGTGTATTATACCTCTTTCCAGAGTAATGTGCATTACTAAACTTACCTGATTTCACTGTTTGTATGTCCTTCCCTCCTACTGCTTCATTCAGAACAGAATCCTTCATTTCAATGGCAGACTGAAGGGGTTTTAAAGTAAAATATTTAATAAATACTATATAGTTCATGAAATATGTAGTTAATTGAAGATACAAAGTTATTACCTTCAAATGAAAATGTTTCTCAGGTGATTCTAAAAAGCAAAAGGGAAACATAATCATTATATATAAATATGAGAAAGCCAAACACACATCCATGCAGAGTTAGTATGGAGCTGAATCTTCATGCTTTGCTTTGGAAATGGTTACTTTAGATTTTGGGTTTTCTTTCCTACTGGTTAGAACAATATGACAGAAAAATTAGCATACAGGTCTAATAAGACATGCAATTAAGATTTCCAAAGTGAGATTATGCTTCCAAAGACCATAAATAAAATAGAAAGTGAACATATACTAATGTGCACATGCTGACTGATGGGGAAAAGTGATCTCTGCAAGTCAGGACCCTGAGAGGATGATGTCAAAGCTGATGGGAAGGTAACAGCACAGAACTTTAACACAACACATCAACCATTTACATACCATTACACTACAAGTATTTGTGTTTTTCAATTTGTCTTGCGCCTCAAGAAGTACACAGTTCATAACAGTTTAGTGAAATGTAAAACTAATTTCTTATCAAAGAATGGATTTAAATCCATTAGCTTAGATATATACTTGTAGAATAATAGTTATTAAAGACATTTTTTCCATACCCTTGTGGGCTACAGGTATGACTACATTTCCTGAATCCTCTAGTTTAGCCATCTTAAAGTTTCTTGATCCACTCATGCAAGAAGGTACATAAACCACATCTAAGAAATAATGCACAGGAAGTTTTTAATATTCAAATTTAGCTATCAAAAAGGAAAAGATAACATGAACTGTCACAGAATTATAGGATACCAATAACCTTTTATATTTCAAAATCAATGCAATATTTACTAAAAAAAAACAACTTTGGTATTCAAGGAATGAATGCTACAATGTCTCTTGTTTCCAAAATTAATTTGGTACATTGTTAGTCTTTAAAGGATTTGCATGAAAAAGCTTTTGTATTAAAACGTAGTTATCTTAAACAAAAATAGTGAATGCTTCTATATGCAAGTTAAACCTTGCTGAATAATTACCAATTCAACATAAAGCTTTGATGCCTGACGTTATGCAACAGAGGTAAGAGGCTACAGGTTAGCCCAATTCTAGCATTCCTCCCTGCTCCGAATCATCTCTGGAGCAGCAAGAATCTATACCCAACAGAAGTGTATTCTCATGGATGGCCAAATAGCTCAGCAGATTAAAGTGCTTGCAAGCAGACTCAGGTGCTGGGGATTGGATCCCTGGGCCTTCTGTGCCAGCTCTGCCCCTGGGGCATGCCAAGAGCAATTGAGACTGGGTGTGGTTCTGCGTGCCTGTAATCCCAGCACTTGGGAGGTTGTAAACAGGAGAATCACTAAGAGTCTGATCTAGTAGTACAGCCTGAACACTCTGTAGACTTTCCCTAAAAATACAGAAAAAAAAGTGAATTCTCTCAAATTTCATCACTAATTCCAAAATTACCTGCCTAGCTTCCTTATTTCCTTGCCTCTTTCCCCTAAATAATCCGTTTATTTCAAAAGTAATCTCTAGTTCTATGGCCTTGATTCTTTCCATTTACTTCTTTTTATGGATTATTCCTAATACTTCTTTACTGGCATTAGTATCTTAGAATTATATTTTGTTTTTTTCACCCCCTTTCTCTTTCTCCTGTGGCTAGAAATATTTTGAGAAGAACAAAATTTATGGGCTGGCCAGATAGCTCAGTGGAGTAAAGCACCTGCTTAGGCAGAGTGCAGCACCCAGGGTTCAATTCCCAACCTTGCTGTGCCAGCCCCGCGCCCAGGGGCACACTGAAACAGCAACTGACTGGGTGTGATGGTGTGCGCCTGTAATCCAAGTGGTTGGGAGGTTGAAATAACAGCATCACCACAAGTCCAATCTATGTAGTGAGACCCTGTAAACCCTATACACTCTGAACTAAATACACACACACACACACACACACACACACACACTTATGTTTTCCCTTGATCCTGTTATGTCTTGAACTATTTATTATCCAATGACTCTTTGTCCAGATTTCTCTAAAGGGAAGTTGATATCCAGCCACTTCCCGTGGTCTGAGGCCTAGCAGCATCAGCATCACCTGAGGATGTGTTAAACAATGCAGGATCCCACACCTGCTCAATCAGTTGTGGTTTAACAGGGTCCCCAACAGGGACTTCATTACAGTGGCAAAGCTCTGGCCTATATACTGAGTCTCTTCCAAATCCTCTTAGCTTACCTTTCGGGAATCCAGTGTCAAGTTCTTTATCATGTCCCCCAAATTCAAAAATGCATAAAAGGTCAAACTTTCTAATAGACTTTTTAATGAGACTATGAATTTTTCACCTCTCAACAACTAAGCATTTTTTTCTTTTTTTCAGTTCTCTTAATTTGGATGTATTATCTGGTAAAACAGCAAGTTAAAAAAAAAAAAGGTAGCAATATTTTATAAGAAATTTCACAACCAGAATTGTGGAAACAATTAAGTTCATGAAACAAAGTATCACAGAAAATACATATGTAGCTGAACATGTATGTATATATTTTCCCACAGTAAATAAAACAGCTCTGCATAATCTAGTATTTCAATCCTTGATGCCTTCCCAATGGTGAAGAGACAGGAAAAGTGGAAAAAACTCTCCTCTACTTGTTTGTCTGCCAAGATTTGGTATTGAAAGCTCACTTTACATAATTCATACAGTCTCCTATTTTGCTCTTCCTTTTTATAAAGAATTCCTTCATTTTCCCACTCTCCATACTTTTTTTTTTCTTCATTTACTCCCTGTACTATAATTCTTTCTTATTTTTCACTCCCTTCTCTTTATTTTCTAACTTCCCACAGACCTTAAAACAGCCTGAAGTGGAACCAATAATTTAGCTCCTTCAGCAACTCTCAACTTTAACCGCATGCTGAAACTTGATAATACATATAATTATTTGCTATTTTACTTCTCCTTTTCCTTACTACACATTTAATAGGCAATTTCTTTGGCTAGAATACAGCAATGCTCCAGTTTTAAATAAACATGCTTTCATTTGACTTTTCTAAAAGAAATTATACATTTATATATGTTTCTTACCTTCTATTTGTCTACTGCCAGCATGTTTTCCTTTTTCATCTGCAGCCCCAGATAAATGATCAACAGACTTCTGTGGAAGATTCTCAGAGATACTCTGTTAAAATTAGTATAACAGTAATGAGTTCAATAAAGATTTCCTAATCATGTTCTTTGTCTTTTTTTTTTAATGTATTTGCAACAAGGTCTCAGTACGCAGCTCAGACTTGTAATGATCCTCCTGTTTTCAGCTTCCCCAGCACTAGGATTACAGGTGTGTGCCACCATGACGGGTCTTGGTGGCTGGTTCATTTCCCTGGGGGTGGGGCTAGCGTGGCATGTGGTGCTGGGGATCACACGCCAGTCCCTGAGCTTGCTAAGCAGACGCTTAGTGCACTGAACCATCTTGCCAGCCTTTCTCCTAATCATTTTCTAAGATGTTATCTGATTTTTCTATCTTAAGGCAATTAGATTTAACAATGAGAAGCATGTACCAAAAAAAAAAAAAAAAAAAAAAATCTCAGAAAACTATGTCAAGCCCACTTTCTAGCCCCATACAGGTGCTGACTTTTTAAAGCAAGTATGGAAAGCCACAGGAGGGATTCACAGACAAAATTCTGTCTGATGTGCATATCTTAACCTAGATTTAGAATACCTAACTCTGCTCTGAATTGCCCAACAAGGATAGCATTGAAAAAACTACAGATTCAAATGAAAGAATTTCAAACTGTAAGATGTTTTTATGAATGTATATTTGTGATATATAATAATTACATTTGTTTTGGGAACTGGTACATGTGTTATCATTTCCTGGTCATCTTTGTTCCCTTTACACCATACTATCCCTGTCCTTTCCCTGATTAAACAATTCAGCATTAAATAATGTTAAGTACACTTGCTATAATTCAGCATTAAATATTTCTAATCACAGAAGTCATTTGGTGTTAAAATACTCAGCAAGCTAAGAAACTTCAGCATGTCATGCTGAGTACAAACAGCATGGCAGAAGCTACTTCATTTATGTAAATGAGGGCTTAGCAAAAAACAATTTTGGGAGCAAGATTTTTACTGATAGAAAAAATAGCTAAAAATAAAAATGTACTAACAATTTTGTTACATTCAAGAAACAGTACAGAAAAATTAGACACTGTATACAACTGTTTTCCAATTAAGAAAGAACTTCAAAGACCAGCCAAATAGCTCAGTGGGTTAAAGTGCCTGCTTAGGCAGGGGCCAGTTCAATCCCCAGGTCTGCTGTGTCGGCAATTGAGACTGGGTGTGGTGGTGCAGACCTGTAATCCCAGCGTTGGGGAGGCTGTAAACAGGAGGATCATTATGAGTCTGATCTTCACAGTGAGACCCTGTGCACCTTGTCCTAAAATACAAAACAAAAACAAAACAAAACAACAACAAAAAAAACAAACCCAAAAAACCAACTTCAAAAAAGAATTAAAAAACTTGATTAAAAAAAAAAGCACCAGCATAAAACTTTTTATCTATTAAATGCCCAAAATGTGCCGAATATTTATTTGTACATTTGTTTTTCTGTTATAAAACTACAAATAATTAGCATGAAAGCTATTGTACTTTCTGCTTCCTGGTCTCTATAGAGGGTTACTATGATGGACAGAGCTTATGGGCTCTCTGCTGTCTGTTCAGAATGTTCTTCTAGATTTCCTATGGCTGGCTCCTTTTCACCCTTAAATTAACATAAATTCACTTTCATTCCCACCTTAACCTCAAATCCTCTCAAAATTCTCTAATCTACCCACGTGTAGCAGCACACACTTGTAATTCCAACACTCCAGGAGGCTGAGGCATGACAATCACATGTTCAAGCCCAGTCTGGGCAATGTTCATTAAATATATCTAAGAGATGACTTAGCAAGACCCTGTCTCAAATTTAACAAGGACTGGAGATGTAGCACAGTGTGAACACCATGGGTTCAATTCCAATTACAGTGGTCCCTCACTTATTGTGGGGGTTACGTTGTAGGCATCCTTGCAATGAGTAAAAATCAGCCAAGTAGCGACATATAACCTTTCCCACACTTTTAAAAACATTTCTAATATGCTTAACCATTTTCTAAACTTGTAAACCTACATAATTTTAACAATATATGTATACTGCACGGTACAGTGTGTATTCATCTGCTAAAGCAATACATACTGTATAGTGTATTTTAATTTAATATTCTTTTATATTAGAATTAACATTTTTAACATTTTTATATATTAAAAAAATTTTTAAGCAAGTCATTAAAATCACAAATACTACACATATAAATATGTATACACCACTGTATACTACCACAAAATCCTGTAACATAGCAAAAAATCTGCAAAAATTTAATTATTTTTTGAAAACATGCAAAATGGTGAGTCTGTGAAAGTTGAACCACAAAATAGTGAGGGACTACTGTACTGAAAAAGTGTTTACTATTTGTTTTCCTGTTGTATTACTATAGCATAAGCCATCATCCAATATATTTAGTGTATAACTAGCTAGCACAGAGTAGGTACTCAAAAATAGAGATTTATTCAAGGTCAAAACATTCAAAATCTCATCAGGGAGGCCTCAGGCACCAAGTTAGTATATTCCTATGGGATATCTTCATTAACAGTTTACTAACTTACCATTTCCAAGTTAGCAATCTACATACCCCCCCCCAAATTTCTTATTCTTTTCTTGTCATCACTATTTTGTTGTCTTTGGGTTTAGATAAAAACCTTCAATATTTATTCAGTGACTGCCAATCCACTAAAATTATTGTCTTACATGTATATGCACATTTTGCAGTTTTCAAAGTACTTTTACATTTCTTACCTCATTTGTTCATTAAAAATATCTAAGACGTAGATATGTGCCATCCTTAAGTCACTTCTGGTTGACCTTACTTTTGGTCACCAGAAGTGACCTTACTAAACAGTTAAATGGTTTTTTTCCAACATTCAATAGTTACTAAATGGCACAATATAACATGTCTTGCGACTTCAACTGCTGTGCTGGTAACATGATACAGGAGCTGCTTAGACTTAAGAGACAAGACACTTCCCACACGGTCACTTTAAAGTAAGTTGTCATTATTTACACTTCTGTCACTACAAGCATGCTGCCATAAAGTCACTCAATGCATTCCAATTCAAAATTGGTTTATGCTTCTAAAATACTACAAAACCAAACTGATTATAAGCCCATGTATCTATAACTCCTTAAGTCCTTTCTTCTCCTGAATTACTTCTTGCAGATCTATACCTGGCAATCCAGATATATTTACACTATCAATGCCCACTCATTATCTTTTCAAGTTACAAGGTGTAAAAATTATGATCTAAACATTTTTCTCTAAATCTCAACAGAACTTTTGTTCACTGGCCATAGGCTCACCTGGAACACGTCTTTGGTTTTTAGATCAACTTAATTTCAGAATCTAAACCAACATCCAAGTCTTAGCTTTTAACTGCACTGGCTTCATGAAATGAATCCCTCATATGTAACAGTAATATATTTAGCATTTCATTCATTCATTCAGTATAAGGGATTAAAGTCAAGGCCTTTGTACTGAGCTACAACCCCAGTGCTTTCTACTTTTCAGGATAGTCTCACTAAAGTCCTAACCTGCCCAGGAAGTTCTTAACTATGGGTTAAAATATGTGAAGCATGAGGAGGTGAAAAAGTAAAGTCAAATTGTCCCCCTTTATATTTAAACTTCAATCAATGCTTATTTCAAAACTATAAATAACAGACAATACCTCAGAATCCCAAGGCGATTCGTCATCTTCTCCTAATCCCAGTGCAAACATCATATCTATAAAATGTAGTCACAGACACATTAATGAGAATATTCACTGCTGTGAATTCTACATATATACCCAAATCTATCTGTATTCATGAATATTTCAGTAAAATAAAAGTAGAAGAGAAAAGAACTTCAGGGGTTTGAAGCAGTATCAGAAAGAAGTTGCTGGAAGGAAAACAGTAAAAGAACAAAATTTTAAAAGAAATTGATACTATTGGTTGGTTCTATACACACTTAAAAATAGTATATAAACAAGAAAATTTTGCCACTATTTACTAACTTACCACTTTTATAATTTTTCTGCTCTTCATCAACATTGGTCACATTGTCATTTGTTTGCTCTTGTGAAGCACTTTCAACAACAAAAGTACCATTTCCTTCTTTTCTAATTGCTGGCCCAGTTGCTTTTTCCTATAAAAAAGAAAAAGAACAACAAATAAACGCACACTTGCCCACCCACCCAGTCAGTCAGTACAATGGAAACAATCACAGGTGAATCTATCAAGCCATAGGGATTACTCTGGGAGAGAAAGAATGAAAGCACATTCTGCTCTACAGGCAAGCAAATGCAGAGCTACTGTATATGAAAACAAAAAGAGAAGTGTACTTCATTGGTTCAATAAGCAGGGTCCAAAGTCAGGGGTCAAACACAAGAACAGTGGGTTTTACCTGGGTAGCTCAGGAAAAGTCGTCAACCTAGGGTCTTATTTTGAGGGGATAGAAAGTGCACAGGAAAGGCAGCAAGTGCATTCCAGACAGGGCAGCATAAACAAATAGATGAGCCATGAAACCGCACAGTGCAAGAGGGCTGCCCAAGTAATGTGATAAAACTGGAATACAGTTCCTGCAATGGCATGGACAGATGAAACAGGAGCATCAGGCGCCAACCACACAAGACTCATCTCAGGATAGAATGTGAACTTTGCCCTTTGTGTAATGGGGATCCGAATATTCTTGCCAGCAGTGTATGAAGGATGAGCATAATAGGGAAAAGCGGAGCAAAAGAGCATTCTCTCTAAACGATTGGTGAGAAAATGAATCCATATAAGAAAAATGGTGAGTAGAATATACAGAATGTGAACGTTTGGATGATCAGAAGGATGGTGAGGCACCAGGATTTTTCCAGCTCAGAGATTCAGTGCCATTTAGTATAATCAGGGAAAGGTCAAAGTCAAGGTCTTTGGGCATGGTGGCACATGCCTGTAATCCCTGCGCTGAGGAGGTTAAAAACAAGAGGATCACTATAAGTCCCTGAGCTGTGCAGTGAGACCCTCTATCAAATACATAAAAACAAAGTCAATGTCTGAAGGGTGGAACATCAAATTTGAGGGTCTCTGGGCTGAGTAAACACATTAAGTGTAGGAGTGGGAACAGATGACCCTACTCAGGAAAGCGCACGGGCTAAAGAAGCCAAGTGTAAAGTTCAGCAAACTGATGTAGGAATGCTAACCTACGCAGAACTCTGAAATTCATATGAAAAGAAGGGGACAGGGAATCCAGAAGATTTAATATTCTCAACTATATATATATCAACATTTGTTTCAAGGATATAAACAAACTATTTTAATATATGCAAATATATTTATGAATATTATGCTAATATGAATTTTAAAATTTAATAATGAGATCTGATTCTTAAACACCAACTTAAGATTTTGCAAGATTCCTATTTAAAGGGAAATCCTATAAATTTTAAATGTAACCTAGGCATGGTGATGTCCACCAGTGTCCACTCAGCTACTTCCGAGACCGAGGTCTGATGATCATTTAAACCCAGAAGATTAAAGCCTACTTGGGGAACATAACAAGATTCCATTTCAAATAGGAAAAATGTTTTACATTGTAGAAGAAAAATGATGATATGTTTATAGACAAGTATTTTTAAATACCAGTATAACATAAGACAGAAATGTAAAACCCTACTTTAAAATTCCTACTCCCCTTTAAATAGCATATGCCAATAGTTTTAATTTTTCTATTCATACCATATGGGATGGTAGTTAAAAGTTGAAGAAAGGTAGTAGGGTCTGTTGTGCATGCCTGTAATCCCAGTACTGACTGGCTGAGACAGGAAGATTAATGTGATTTGAGGCCAGTCTGGGCTACTTAGTGTGTTCAAGGCCAGCCTGCACTACACAGCAAGACACTGCCTAAAAAAAAAAAAAAAAACAATAGCCAGCCATGGTGGTGTTTGCCTATAATCCCAGCACTCAGGAAGCTGAAGTAGGAGGATTGCTATGAGTTTGAAGCCAACCTGAACTACACAGTAAGACTAAGTCTCAAAAAACCTAAATAAATAAATAGAAGGATCTAGTGTAAAACAGCCATCATATCAAAATTGAAGATATGTAAGTCTAAGAAAATACTTTTCAAATACTGTTCTAATACTTATCAATCAGAACCCAATATTCACATGAGGGTGCTAAAGTTATTAACAGGATTCCTGAGTTATAAGATGAGAGAATTTAAGTGGAAGGCTTTATAACTATAAATATCGAGGCAGGGGTGCAGCAAAGCAGGACAGTATTTGCCTAGCATGAGAGGGCTTAATCTCAAGCAACAAAATGGGAAAAACAACCCTCAAAAACCTATTAATACTGAATGTAATAATGCTTCCTCAGAATAAGGAGATATAAAATATCTCCACTGCTGGACATACTTTAAAAATTAAGGGACTTGCCTGATAGCTTAGTTGGGGCTTACCCGATAGCTCAGCTGTTTAAAGTGCAGCTTGGGGAAATGCAGTCAGGTGCAGGGGACTGTGGTTCCATACCCAGCCCCACAAGCTGCATCACACCCGCCCTTGAGGTAGCCAGAAGCAGCCAATAAATAAATAAATAAACAAACAGAATAAAAAACATAAAAAATAAAAAAAATCATTTTCTCATGTAATTTAGGCTGGTTGTACTCAATGGCAGAGTGCTTTCCTACCATGCATGAGATTCTGGGTTTCCCAGTCTTGGGGAGTAGAAGACTATCTCAATTATAGAACTTGGGATTTTAATTCATGAAACAATGAAATACAATGCTTATTTTCTCTTTACTTTCAAGAAGACATAAAGCAGTCACTAAGATTACACATCAAAAATAATGCTAGTTAAATAAGGATACATCAAGCACTAAGTTAAACTAGAAAACTTAAAAATGAGTCAAATACTAATAATTCATAATAAACCCAGTAAGACCTAAAACATATTATTGTGCACTATCTATGAATATAGGATATGCCAGATTAAATAGAAGACATAATTTACTGCATTTAGTAAAAATAGAGATTACATTTACAGTTCTTCACTAAAATCAATGATGGGTCAATTAAAAGCATACAATTTCTAACATATAATAGAGTTTTACTTATTTAACTCTTGTTTTTACATTTCATTTTGACTCTCTTACTTGATCTTATTATGAAGTCTTAACTTCTCTTTTTTTATTTTTTTTGAAGTCTTAACTTTTCTTGTTTTGTAAATGAGTCTTCTTTCAACCTCAGCTTTACATTCCTCTAGCTATTTTTTGTTTTCTAGTTCTTTCCTTCCATAGCACAGAACTTTTTACTCCCATCAACTTTTCTTTCTTTCTTTTTTTATTCATTTTAATGACAAAAAAGATAAAATAGCAATGAAACAATTTCAAAATGGGTTAGTAGGACAGTTACAATAATTAATACATTGCATAATGTTGTCTTTGTAGTAGTTACTCAGAGGACAAGATGCAGACATCATATCTTATATAAACAATATTAGTAGAAACCTTTCTTCTCAATGAACTAAGAGAAAGTAGCTGTATATCTGTCCTGTCTTGTGTATACATATATATATATTTCTTTTCTTCACAACAAAACATTCTTTTATTTACACTTTTGCAGTTAGTAACAGGTGACACAAGGTTGCCTAGGGACCTTAACTGGAGCGACTGATAGCTGACCTTAACTGGACAGGATGTTTATCTCAGGACTGATAGCTGACCTTAACTGGATAGGATGTTTATCTCACAACTGAGGTAGCTTAAAAAAGCAAAAGCTTTAGACACTGAGGCCTAGTCTCACCTACACACATTTGATCAATTTCCTAGCTTCTGTGGCTCCCAACATATCCCTTTTTTTGGTTTTGTTTTGTCAGAGTCCCATCAACTTTTAAAAAAATCTGAATTCTGTACATATATCTCTCCTGTTATACTTGTTTTCTATTAGGATCTGAGGGTCATTTCTTTCTATGACCATTGCCATCCATCATATGTGACTAAAAGCATGGGCAAAGTATTTAAAGAGAGGTCTTACTTTTGGTTCAGATGATGGTGATGAAGAAGAAGATTGAGCAAAGTCCTGGACATTGACTGATGTTTTAAAAAGGGTTTCAACCACATCTTTGTTTTTAGTATCAGAAATACTGTTGTCAATCAAGGTTCTATTTCCTGTTTCCGCAATACCGTATTTGGCTTCTATGACAACAAAAACAAAGTAAATTATACATAAAATATCTACAACTTCAAATCAATAAATATAACAGCAACAGGCAGTTTTTAATCAAACAGCTTACCATTTTTCCTGGATTGCTGAGAAGCAGTCCATAGGTCAGTTAGGTTCATTTTTGGGGCATTCTAAACATTTAAAAAGAAAAGCTTTAAGCATCGAAAGTATCCAATTTGATAAAATAGCATTAACCATTACTACATGATCTAACATTATAATTATTATTATTTAATTTATTTATTGGATACAGGGTCTCACTTTGTAGTTCAGACTCATCGTGATTCTCCTGCCTTAGCCTCCTCAGTGCTGGGATTACAGGCATGTGCCACCACACTCAGTTTCGGTGGCTGGGATGGTGCTTAGACCACTGAACTCACTCCCTGGCCCTACATGATCTAACATTAAGAACACAGGTTCCCCTTGTTGCTTTTGCTGTCTTCTGCTGCCATCAACTGCTGTCCCTCTGCCATGTGTGACCCTCCCTTGGTGCCTGCTAATAACAGACTGGAACTTTTACAAACTGTGAGCTAAATATGTCTTTTTTCCTTTGGAAAAAAAAAAGAGCATAGGTTTTTAGAATTACTCAGATGTAGATGACAGACATACCAAAATATTATTTCCTTTATCTCTAATTAATTGTATAAATATGAGGATATTTATTAGATTTTTTTTTTTAAGCGCCAAATGCCTTCAGGGCAGGTTTGGCTGGCTTGAGTTGTGGGGATCGAACTACAGCAACCTGAGCCTGACAGCTTTGTGGAAGCAGCCACTTAAAGAACTGAGCTAAGGGGGGCCTGGCCCTAGCTCAGTCCTTTAAGTGGCTGCTTCCACAAAGCTGTCAGCCTCAGGTTGCTGGAGTTCGAACCTCACAACTCTCCCGCTGGCCAAAAGTGCCCTTAAGGCATTCGAGGAACAAAAAAAAAAAAAAAAAAAAAAAAGAACTGAGCTAAGGGGCAGGCCCCCTAGATTATTTTCTTATCTAAATAACCAAAAACAAATATTTATCTCTTTGCAGTTTACAGTACTTTGAAAAAAATTAACATTTCAAGAAATAATAATTCATTCCTTGTTAATTTTCAATTTATTTCCATGATTCATATTTGTATGAATTACTTCATAAGGAGAAAAATTTAAGAGTTGAGTTTTTAGTATAGTAACTGATTTAGAGGTTAAAATTACATATATTGGGGCTGGAGAGATGGCTCAGTGGTCTAAAGCACCTACTTAGAACAGGCTTAGCAAAAGCATCAGGGACCGCGGTTCGATCCCCCAGCACCACATGCCAGCCAGCCCCGCCCCCTGGTGGGCTGAGCTGGCCACACACACACACACCACACTCTCTCTCTCTCTCTCTCTCTAATAAGTAAATAAATAAATAAAAAAAAATTACATATATTGGCCAGACACAGTGGTGTACACCTGTAATCCCAGCACTCAGGAGGCTGAGGCAGGATTGTGGCAAGTTTGAGACCAGCCTGGGCTACAAAGTGAGCTCAAGGCCAGCCTAACTGCATAGGTGAGACCCTGTCTCAAAAAAAGACCAAAAAAAAAAAAGAATTACAAATAGTGTAAGTTACTTCTATTCTGTATGTCAAATAGCTAATGACAAATGATTGTATTAATTCAGCTCCTTCTAAGAAATACGAGAAAAAAGACATGAACAAATCCTGTGGGGCAGTGCTTGAAGAATCAAAGCCACACAGTCACTAAACAGAAGGATGTAACTAAATATGCCATGAACACAAAGACAGACTGAAAGAGCAAACACTAAAGAAGTTTTTTCCATAAAGAAAAACTTAGAGGGAGCCAGGGAGATGGTTCAGTGGAATAAGCGCTTCCCTGGCAAGCACAAGGGCCTGAGTTCAATCCCTGGTTCCAGAAAAAAAAAAAGAAAAACTTAAGAGTTACAGGTAAATTATTTTAAAGAGGTAAGGGAAGAGATAGACACACACACACACACACACACACGCACATATGCACACATGCGCGCGCGTGCACATACACACACACGACGGGTGAGGGAGAAAGATGAGAGAAGAGATGAGTAGTTAGCTAAATACGAACTTAAAACAAGGAAGAAAATGAAAATATATTAAGGATAAGGTATGTAAATAAATAGGGGCTTCTGTTCAGTCCTTAAAAAAATACTAACACTAATAACTCTAGTTATTTTTTATAAATACTAAAATAGATTAATTTCATTACTATAATAAGTTCAATTAAATATAATTTAGGTCATATTTTAAAAATTCAATAAAGAACTACTACATAATTCATATACATACCTCTTATAAAATTCTACTATGCAGAAGTTCATTTATTGACATTCAAAAATATTAAAATGCTTAATACAGAACGTATTATTCTAGGTTTTCAGAATACTCACAAACATATTTCCTAATCTCAGTAGCTCACAGTAATGCAGAAAGTATAAAATGAGTATTTTGAAATATAAAACCTTCTGAAACTTGAAATTTTAGAATGAGGTACAGAGACTGATTGGATATTTTTAAAAACTATAATGCATAAAGCTTTGCTATCTGGTTATTTTGCTCTAGAGCTAGTTATCATTCTGATCAAAAGAAGTATTCTTCAATCAGGTGAAAAAATTTAAAAACAGTATACCTAGTTCTTTAAAATGATTTTCCCTAACCAACTTTCCATATAAAAGCATGATAGGTACACCACAGCTTATTTTAAGACTAAGCACTATACAAAGCAAAACTAAGGAGAAGAAAATTAACTTCACAAAACACCACTTACCTTATTATCAAAAAGATAGTCATCATCATCTGATGTAGGCCAGGAATCATCAGGACCAGACTTGTTGGAAGACCTGTAGAGAGAAATCATGTAAGTGGGTGAGTCGTGTCCTTACAAACTCATGAAAGATTGGCCATCTGTCTATCGAATGCTGTTTCTTGGTTGACACAATTAATATCTGACTTCTATTTTTAACATCTTTTAGTTAACTTTCTCTGTCTCTACCTCTTCCAATGTATGAAATAGTCAGTGAAGACTCACTTTTGCTCTCATATCAAAGAGTGACAGCCAACAGACTGGCAGAAGCTGAGAATAATCTATGTTTACAAATTGCCTACCCCAAAGGCTGAACCGAAAATCTAACCACTGGCTGACCTAACTTTTGTTACATGGACTGAAACAAACCTGATAAGCTTAAATTAGAAAGACACAGGGTCTCTGCAGTAAGCTACATTCCTCGCCCTGTTTTAAAAAATGTTATTTAATTTCTTTCCATTTCAACAACCAAGCTGGATGTGGTGGCTTAGATTTAAGATGTCCTTTATAATTCTCCTGCATGTGGAAGGTGTTTGGATCATGGGGACATTATACTCAGTGCACTCATCCACCTGCAAGTTCAGCAGCTCAAAGTGCTCTTAGGAGTTGGGGTCTGGCTGCAGACTAGTTCTTCAGCCCTCTCATGGCTTCCCGGCTGAGCGGGGAGCAGCCTTCTGCCCCCACACCTCCCTGCCATATGGTTTCCACCTTGGAGCCAGCCAAGTCAAAACAAACCTTTGCTCCTTAAGTTGTGTGTAACCAGTATTTTGTCCCACTGATGGGAAAGTTACTGAAAGTGACTAAGACACTGGGTAACTCAGAAATAGCAGTCTTTTCAGGTACACATAAAGTAGTAAAACATTCATAGACATTGTCACAGTCAAGCAGGAGCTAGATGGAAAATCAGCCCTGTTAGCTGCACCTCTGTTCTCCTAAATTTAATCTAGTATCTTTTCTTAAGTGTTTCTACTCCTTGGCTGCTCTTTGCAGGCTCTGTGCCAATCTTCACTTGTCTTTAACCTATGAAGGCACAGATTCCTCCAACAAGGATGTGCTCAATCAAGAGTAGCTCCTCCTGGGAAGAAAGCTATTTGAGTTACAATCACCTGCCCTCAGCAGAAGCATGTTACCAACTATCACCTGCACACAACTACCTCCAGCCACTACTGCCCTGGTCCTACCCTACACATACAGGAAGGATATCAGCAAGTTGAGAAAAGAGAAGGATGGGAGGGAAAGCTGCTGAGTCATAGACCCATAAAGTTCACCTACTTTCAGTCCCCTGGTAGAGTTAGAGGCTCTACGCCACCCTCTGTAATGAGAAGGAAGGCAGGGATGGCACATTCCTACCATACAGACTTTGGGTGGCCAAATTTCCTTAACATCTTTCACAAAGCAGAGATCACTATGCAAGATCACAGCCCCTAAAACCTTTCAACAGAAATCTTGAAGTTTGTCAGTTCCTTCAATTAAACAAAAAGCAACAATCTTTTCAGGACTCCTTTGAGCCTCCCAATTTTAATATTTCTAGATAACTCCCAGTAACTTGTGCTTTTAATTCCTACATTATCTTTATTAAACTTGTGATAAACCTCAATATGCTGAAGTCTAAAACACCACTCTTGCCCAAGCTAATGTTGTTGTTCTTCAAACCTGCCCTTTCTGTTAATTCCATTCTAATCCTCTACCACTGGGAACACTAAACTCACTCCTCTATTCTACTACTGAAACTCACAGAATGAGAAATAAATGAAGAGTGCTAGACTCAGGAATATGGAACCTGAGTTCAAGTCTTATTTTTTCCATGTACAATATTCAGATAAGTCACTTTAATATCACCGAGTTTTAGATTCTCTATGAGAACAACAACCAGTTGGCTCAGATGTTAAACACAAGTTGAAGTTCTAGGGAGTATTTTGATTGGTCTCATAGATTTCCTAAAATCTGAAATTCTACATGCTGTTGATTCTGTCTAAAGAACAATAAGAGACTGGGGAGATAAACTGGTGGTCTAAGTGCCTGTGTGTCAGGCACAAGGACCCGGGCTTGATTCCCAGTACTGCGTGCCGTGCCAGCCCTGGGCTGAGCCAGTCCACTGAAACTGGGCATGGTGGCACGCACCTATAATCCCAGCAATGGGGGAGCTGAGATAGGAGGCTCACTATGAGTCTCAGTTGTATCAAATAAATAAGTAAAAGATTAAAAAAGTTAAAAAAAGAACAATAAGAAATACTAACATTAGAAATAAAAAAATTACCAAGAAAAGCAAAAAAAAAAGTTTTAAAAATCAAGAAAAGAGTTTACTTATGGGGGAAAATGGTAACAAAAAAAAAGAAAAAAAAATCATAGAACTAGGCAGGAGTAGTAGCCTGAAAGGAAAAACAAACTGGGAAATCAATAGAGAAGTATATTAAAAACACCATCCCAGAGCCAGGGAGATAGCTCAGTAGAATAAGCGTCTGCCTGGCAAGCACAGGTTCCTGAGTTCAAACCCCAGTACCACCAAAAAAAAAAAAAAAAAAAAAAAAAAGCAAGCATCCCAATAGATGGTTAATATAACACGATTTACATGAAGATAGTCTTCACTTCCAGATCTAACCTAAAACCTCTGATGGTAAAAACAAGATACTGGTTATCAGTGCAGTCATCATTATTTGGACAAACTCTTGGACTCTCTTACCAGGCTTCTCAGGAAAACTAAATGGACTTGACCCACACCTGTGACATCTGAATTGATCTGATATGGTCTGTATTTTGATCCCAGCATTGCAGAGGCCCCCACCCACCTATGCAGAGGGGAAGGGAATGCATCCGGGAGCCAGGCAGGCTAACAGTCAAAACATGGGTCAGCCACTTATTAATCATGAGATCATGGACCAATTCAATAACTTCCCTCAATAACCGCTGCCTAAATAGTAAAAAAATTGATCAGAGTAACACTGGTACTTTGTCTAGTTTGAAGGTTAAGACAAAAACAGTCATTTGTTTTCTCTTCATTCACTAATTAGTTAACATATGACATTTAAACATTTATAAATTCCTACCTGGTTAAAGAGTCATCTTCAGAATTTTCATCCACTATTAGAAGAAAAAGGTACAATGTATTTTGAATCAACAAAAATATGAAATATTAAAAGTATAACACTAATGCTTTCTTACAAAGTATTCTTTTGGACTGTACCTGTAGACTAGAATCAATATTAATTACACAACTAATAGGCAATGCATTAAGAACTCTTACTTTCCATTTTTTATCAAATACAATAAAAGTGGAATTTATCAAAATCTCATAGCTAAAACCCAAGAAATGACATCCTAACTGAATGGTACCATATTGACAGAAATGGTGTCAATAACAGTTATCAGTGGCATAAGCTGACAGTGGTAAACAAATAGCATATTTCTGGACTAACAGTACCAGGAATAACCATAAAAGAGTGCACTTATTTTGTTAAGACACAAGACAGCTACAGCAAGTTTTCAATTGAAACCGTTGAGTTTTAGGATGAAGTATTTTATCACAAGGAAGCTGTAATAATGGGCAATCTAATTTGCAGCATGGCGAAATACAGGAAGCAGATCTGAAACAAAGGATCACTGCAGTGACTGCCCGCTCCCAGTGGAGAAGCGCTCAGGGGAAATCAGTGTACTTATTCTTGCTAATCCTCTTCTAGGGAAGGTGTAAGGAGCTCTGTTAGTTCTCACTCTTTTCTCTGTCTTATGCACGATGCAAGCAAGGCTCAAGTGTATCTGCTATTTTACTTCTCATGGAAAGAGCCACTGTAAAGATCAACCCCTTAGGAGCTTGTCCACTCTGAAAAGTTTAACATCCAACACAGGGAAGGTTGTAACCAGCTGCCAAGGAGCACTGTCTTATAAGAAAAAATATATAAAAATAAAAACATTAACTCACTGAAGCTCTCAGAATGTGCCAAGTAAAAGTTTTTATTTCATGTAAACTGTGAAAAACAAAAACAAAAATAAAAAAACAACCTAAAAGTATTGGATTTCCCATGACAGAGAATCAACTCATAGAAAGTCAGGGTTGGCCAGGGCTGGGCATAGTGGTGAGAACATTTGCACAGTATGCACAAGACCATAGAATCCCTAGCTAGCACTGAGGGAGTAGGGACCAATAATAATCCTGACAAAATCTATCATGTTATAGAGGAAGAGGACTATTTTTGATTCACCTATAGTTTTCTTTACTCCCTCATCTTACTCCCCAGTGCCAGATAGGTATGAAAGACAATGATACATTTTGAGAAGCACAGCATTTGCTAATGTGTCTTTCCATTCTCAAAGGGTCTGTCTGGACCCAAAAGAGCAGCATATTCCAGTTAGTGCTACAAAGTTCACCATGGTGTCATTTTTCTTAACCTTCCTTACTATGCGGAATCTCCACAGAAAGCATGTCTTCTCAGCACGCACAGCATATGTCATTAGTTCATATTCATAAACAAAAAACAAGAAAAGAAAAAAAGAGGCTAGAGTTGCACAGTGGTAAAGCATTTGCCTGGACTGGTCAAAGTCTTGGATTTAATCCCTATCAATGTCCCCACTGAAAGAAAAAAACAGTTCATACAACAGCTTAAATGATTACATTCAATCACCTTTAATGGGGGCCTGCCCCTTAGCTCAGTTTTTTAAGTGGCTGCTTCAACAAAGCAGTCAGGCTCAGGTTGCTGTGGCTCGATCCCCACAACTCAAGCCAGCCAAACCTGCCCTAAAGGCATTTGGATCAAAAAAAAATCACCTAATATTAAAACATTTATCCAGGGCTGAGGAGATAGCTCAGTGGCTTAGGTGCCTGCCTGGCAAGTGCAAGGTCTTAAATTTAATCCTTGGTACCAAAAAAAAAAAAAAGGAAGACATCCACTGTATTTTCCCAACTATGTAGTTGTTCTGGTAATATCAAAACTCCTCAGTCAGTGGTTGCAGTGTTGGGGGTAGGGGAACAAGGAGGCAACAAACAGATTAGCCTTAGCTATGAAACATATGACACTATAATAGCTAATATATGTCATTATACATTTGCCAAGACCCATAAGAAGGAGAACACTAACAGTGAATCCTAATGTTAACTGCGGCCTTTGGATGGTAATGATGGACCAATGTAAGTTATCATCTATACCCAGTGTACTACCCTACAGGAAGGTGCTAGCAATGGAGGGAGGCAACTCATGAGTGGGAGGCACAGGATAAATGGGAAATCTCTGCATCTTCCTTTTACTTTTACTGTGAACTTAAAACATTCTCTATAAAAAAAAGTCATTAGTGGACAGGGTACAGCTCAGTAGTTGAGAACTTGCCTGGCATGCATGAGGTCCCAGGTTCAGTTCTGAGTGCTGAAAAAAAAAGGAAAGGAAAAAGCCATTAATTTAAAAAATAGTCATTGAATCTACTATTTTTCTGTTATAGCAATATGTAGTCTACAATTGGAGATAATGAAAACGATCAAGGTAAGAGAATATAGGTATTACCTCCTAAGCAAAGAATACAAAAATATATAGAATAATTTAAGTTACATATTTAGACAGGAAAATAAATGATAAAAGTAACTTACCATTTTATTTTTACTGATATAAATCACTTTTTAGTGATATAACCATGTAATAATATTAATTTACCAAGTATAATCCATTTATTTAAAAAATTAAAACTTTAAGTATAGAAAAAATAGACATACTAATTTAAAACTTTTCATGTATAGGATTCAAGGAGTCAAAATTAAATAAAATGAAATGTTTTAGATTATGAATTTCTTATAATTCATTTCTTAAATAATTCTGAAGTCTAGATTATTAACAAAGAAATTAAAAAATATATAAATGCAATTTACACAGTGAATTTTTTTAAGTACCCTTCTGGGTTCAAAACTTTCTCTTACTTTTTTCTTCTTGTATTTTGGAGACAGAGTCTGACTATGTAGTTAAGGCTGGCCTTGAACTCACTATGTAGCCCAGGCTGGCCTTCAACTCAAGATGATCCTTCTGCCGCAGTTTCCTGAGTGCTAGGAGTACAGGCATGTGCCACCACACTCTTAATTTTTTATCAGGACAGGACCACCAAGTGTAATTCACTATAAGGAGTCTTACCTGGATAGCTATTTTCAGAATTTTTAAGTCTCTTTTCTTCATATTCAAAAATTTGTCTACATATAAAAAAATCATTGGTTTAATATCGATATAAAAATACATTAAATTACTAAGAGTATTTCAGTATTAGAGTTAATATTATAACATATTCCGCACACTTCAAATCTGTAAGATCTATACACCTTTATTAAGCCTATAATTAAAGAAGAAAAAAGAGTAAGAGGAAGCAGTCATGAACCAAGAAAGACAAGACAGCTCCACGCTTTAGCTAGATTAGCTCAGTTTAAGAGAGAGTGTCTTGAACTCAGAAGTCCCCGTTCTAGATCCAACATGTTTGTTCTTGGACAAGTCATTTCTCAGGCTCAAAGTCTTCTTATGAACAATAAGGATTTTACTGCTTTAGTTTACCAGATTTCTATAATGACTGGATGAGGTAACATAAAAACCTGCTCTCAAACAGTGAAGCAATGGAGTAATTTATCTTTCAGTGCTTAACTACTTTGGAATCCCAAATAAAACCCTATGTGCATTTTTTCAGATTCTAATATTCAAATGTTATAGTTGCCAGAAAATATTAGGTCCTAACTCTGATTATCAGCTGTTCTATTCTCTGTGGCTTATAATTCATGGCAAATCAACTTTTTAATAACTTGTAACTAAATTTACTTATAAATATCCTATTAAATTAATATAATTGTCTTCTACTACTGAACTAATCATGCTAAGGAGAGAAAACTAAGAGATGTCAAGACCTGGCATAAAACTTCAGGAGAAGGAGATAATAATCAGAAATATGTATGCAACAAATATGTGAGTACCCAGCGATGTAAGAGAAATATTAATAGGCATGAAAAATCAAATAAGCAATATCACAATTACATTGGGGGATCTTAATACCCCATTGTCACAAAGGGACAGATCAATTAGACAAAAAAATCAGCAAAGACATATCAGAACTAAACCAAACCTGTGAACAAATGGACTTAGTAGATGTCTACAATGTTCCACCCCAAAACATCAGAATACACATTCTTCTCGGCTGTACATGGGACATCCTCTAGGTCATATACTAGCCCACAGAACATGTTCAAGTAAATGCAAAGAAACTGAAATTATGCCATGCATATTATCTGACCATAGTGCAATGAAACTGGAAATTAATGGCAAAAGAAACCACAAAAAATCCACACTCAGAAATTAAATAATACCCTCCTGAACAACCAATGGGTTGCAGATGAATTAAAGAAGAAATTAAATATCTACAGTTAAATGAAAATGCAGACACAACACACCAAAACCTGTGAGACTCAATGAAAGCAGTCCTAAGAGGGAAATTCTGTAAATTCTCACATCAGAAAAACAGAGTGAGGACAAATAAACAACCCAATATTTCTCCTCAAGCTTCTAGAAAAAGAAGAGCAAGTCAAGCCCAAAGTCCATACAAGTGAGGAAATTATAAAGATAAGAGCAGAAATAAATGCAATTGAGACTAAGAAAATGATACAGAGAATTAATGAATCAAAGAACTGGCTCTTTAAAGACCTGGTATAGACTACTATTTCTCCTCTACCCAACAAAATTCTGCACGTGATTCTAATGAAGATCTGTGGGTTCAGTTTCTATGTCTGTCTCCAACTGACTTGGAAGATAAAACCCTCTTTATAGTAAGTAAACATCACTCAATATTACTATACACACAGAGCATGAATCCTACTACACAGTGTTCTTTGTTGCCCAATCCAAGTAACTCTTGTCTATTTGATGGTTTGTATTGATATTTTTTATTATATTCCAGTAACTGTAAGTTAGTCATCTTCCTATTGGTTTGACTTCATTATTTGAGTTATTACTACTCTAGAACACTACTAAAGTCTTGTTTTTTAAAAAAGAACAAATGACTATACCTTTGCGGCTTATCCATCACAGCAATACTCGCTTTTTTCTTTTGAAATAGTTCTGCCACTTCCCGTCTGTTTTCCCTTAGAGCAAGCAAAAGCGGCGTGAGGCCATCCTGTGAATAAGCAGAAATTATTTAGAAGCCACACAGCTGCCTATTTCTCAACTGAACTGAAAACCTGGTAAAAGACTCTATGTCTCTAGCCTAATGTAGGTAATACACAGCAGTCTCTTCCTTCTCACAGTACCTCCTTCCACACGTGCTGCCCCTGCCCTCCTCTTTCTGCAATGAGTTGCTACATGAACTCAGGATTGAGACTTGCTTCAGACACTCGCTGAATCCAAGGATCTTTCCATCACAGCATTTATCAGGGTACTGTGGAGTTATGTAACATCTCCTACCCAAATCAAAAGCATGTCAGGGGCAGGGGCCATATCTTTTAACTCAGTAACAACATACCCTAATGTACAGCAGTAAAAGGTTTAAGTATTTTTATTGAATTAATGAGTTAAATTATCATGTCTAGGGTAGGGATTCTCAGTCTATATTTTGAAGAATAATTTTTCAAAAGTTCTATGTCTCAACAGATTTAACAATCATATTTGAGCAAGTATAAAATTGTACATTACTTGTTCAGTACTAAAATCTCTTTAACTTTGCTTTATTCCTACTCAACAGTACCTTTTTTCTTGACAAATAGCAACATCTGAAGAATTAAGTTTCAGGAATTCAGTGTTAAGAGCTTTATTGATCAAATAGGCATTAACTGTTCCTTTCAATACATCAATACAAATTAGTAATGCAATTATCTTGACTATCTTGTGTATGTATGCATGCGTATATACATATTTTTTCTTCTTTTCCCCCATCCAAGTTCCTTCCTTTTGAGCAGTCTCTTTTCCTTTCACAATATCAATTGTATCTTTCAGATTTTACTCTTTCAGCTTTTCACACTAGGGAAACAGTATCAGTGTAGAGATTCCACAAAAAACTAGGAATAGAAGCTAGGTATGGTGGTACATGCCTGTAATCCCAGCACATGGGAGGCTGAAGCAGGAGGATCACTGTGAGTTCAAGATCAGCCTGGGCTACAAACTGAGCTCAAGGCCAACCTGAACTATATAGCAAATCCCTGTCTCAAAACAAAACAGAACAAGGGCTGGCCAAATAGCTCAGTGAATTAAAGCACCTGCAAGCAGGCACAGGGGCCAGGGTTTGATCTCTGGGCCTGACTGCTGTGCTGGCCCCGCCCCTGTGGTGTGCTGAGACGGCGACTGAGCCTGGTTGTGGTGCCTGTAATCCCAGCACTTGGGAGGCTATAAGCAGGAGAATCACTAGGAGTCTGATCTAGTAGTGAGACCCTGAACACCCTATAGACTGTTCCCTAAAAATAAACAAAACCAAACCATAGGAGTAAGACCCCATTCAACCCAGGCATTCCCCTTATTTTTGCAGAAAAATGGAAAACATCATAACACACTGACATATATGTACCCATGTTTATAACAGTACAATTTGTCATAGCTAAATCTTAGGGACAACTGAAATCCCCATCAATGAGGAATGGATAAAAAAGATGTAGCATTTTTTACAACAGAGTAATAGTCACTTGTGTTTTTAAGAGACAAGACTTGAGAGAAAGATCTAATATTGTTGATAATATACAGCAGAAAATTTCATATTGTTGATAATATGCATAAATTATCCAACTGTAATTATAGACATCCTAACAGGAACACAATTATTTATAGTATAAGGCAAAAAATTTTAAAACAACTTCTAAATTCAATTGTATTTCTAAAAATTTACTATGAGATATAGATTACATTCTTATAAATTAACCTAAAATATCTTGAAACTCCTTACTATTAAAATATACCGTAATTTAAGAGCTGGAAACTCTCATAGAGGCAAGTAGTACACAGGAGGAAATACAGACATGGGTCAATAGCAAACTGGAGAAAACACGTGAGCTCCATATACAGGGGATGCCTCCTAATAGTTACTGAGCTCTGAAGACACTAGAGTCCCTTCTTTTTTTTTTTTTTTTTTTTTTGCTGTACTGAGAATCAAACTCAGGACCTTGCACTTGCCAGGCAGTGCTTATGCCCTTGAGCTATCTCCCCACCTAGATTCCCTTCTTTTAGAGCATCTTGAACCTCAAATTCTGCTACAGTTTTCTGAAATTTCAATGTGGATTCCATTTATGGAGGCAAAGTGAATATAGCTAACAGCCACTTTTAGTCCACAGCCTTCTGCTTATATCTTTGCTGTGCATGTGCATGTGTCCAAATGGTTGTGTACAAATGGTTGTGTACAAAGTGAGCGTTTGCATGTAAAATCCTCCCTTTAACATATTTTATCACAAAGTGAGGTCTCACAGTGAAATGAAAAGATTTACTTGTCTATTTCAATAATTTTTCTAGCACTTAAATTTATCCTCCATTTGTGTGCAATTGTTCCTGACTGTTAAAAAGATGCATAAGAGGACTGAAACTAAATATCTAAAGAATTCCCAGCTGGACATGCACACCTGCAGTCTTATCACTGTGAGGCTAGGCAGAAATCTCCAAGTCTGAGTTACACTTAGACAACTTTATGAGACTCTGTCTCAAATTTTTAAAAAGGGGCAAGGAATACTAAGTGCTGGAGATGTAGCTCAGTCGGAAGGCCCTAGGTTCAATTTTCAGTACCACTAAGTGAATAAATAAATGAATACAAACAAATTTTAAAAAGCATTCCCATCCACATCTTACTAATTTCATGGATTTCTGCATGGGTTCCTGAACTTAACACACTGAGACAAACTATCACATGCCTTCAACTAAAATCAGGCTCGTGGGTGGTATTCAAATTTCTCCAAATAATCAACATTTGCTGACCTCATGCCATGAATAGACATGGAATTCCTAAAGATTCAGCCTCAAAGGTAACTGAATTTCTACAGAGCTTCTCAGTGGCAGTGGAAACTGACCAGTTAGCTCAGCTGGTTACAGTGTGGTGCTAACGGCAGTGGAAGACTGACAGCTAGAGGGAAAGCGGTGGGATTCTGCACGGCAACAGGTAACACTGATACCTTTTAACTTCCCACTGACAGAGATAAAAGACAAATGGAAGTTGGGCTAATACTGCTGGAAAGGAGAAACTGAAAGAAGATAGTATTTAATCAGACTCGTCTAGAGATTTGTTACGTTTATGAGAAATAGGAATTCATCCATTAAACATACTTATGTATTACATGGTTTGGTGTTATATCAGACCCTTGAGGAAATATTTTTAAATATCCACATCAGGTTTTAATAGATTCACTGAATCAACTCCCCAGGGGAGATCCTCAACTTGTACATTTTTAAAACTCCCCCAGGCCACTGAGATGCACAAGTCTAGATGAGAACTAGAGAACCTAGAAGATCACTGCAGTCTCATCTCTTATCCACACAGCTAATGCTTCTCACTATCTGAGGAGCTGGACAAAGCAGGAAAGAGACAAGTTACTCCATGAAAGCTCCTTTTAATCCACTTGGCAAGGGGTGAAGAGGGATTAGTAAATTAAAAATGCAACTGACTTCTTTACATAAGCTCCTTATCTCTCAGCTGAGCAAGACACTATAGGTTTAAAAGCAGAATTTAGATTCTTATCTTAGTTGCTACCTCTGCCTGAAAAGTAGAGAATGTCCCTAAATTATTTGTTCACTCTCCTTGTTTTCACCTAATCACCATTCAGCCGGGGCCAATCTTGCTTCCTTGGAGTTGTAAAATTGCAGGTTTGCAACTATGCAACTTGCTTTCCTAATGAAGAATTTTTATTCCCAAACCAGGTAAGGCCTATACTCCTTGCACTATGGAAGGCTGACGCAGGAAGATTGCATGTTCAAGCCCGGACTACGCAACTAAGGGAGTCCCTGTTTCAAAATAAAAAATAACATAAAAGAGCTGGAGCGTAGCTTAGTGTGAAGGCCTTGGGTTCAACTTTCAGTACTGAAAAGAAAAAAAGAATTTTTATTCCCAAAACTGAAGAGCACCTTGTCTATATACATAAAACCAGAAAAAAAATTTTTTTCAGAAATAAACACACAAACAACCAACCAACCAACCCTATGGGCCTACATTATTTCTAATCACTTTTCATTTTTCCCATTTAATCGAAACCATTGAGAAATGAGTCGTTTTTATGACCTCTCAACAGCAATAAGATCTCCACTTAAATTGTAAAACAGTGTTGTTCTGTTTCAGTTTTAAAATTAGGCCTACTTCCAAGGTAAATTTTGCTGTTCTATGTTGTTTTACACTAAGGAAAAATTAAAACAAAAAAACAGGAAAAAATATAACAAAAAAGAAATGATTTACTTTTCAAAAATTTAGTGTTTGGGGTCAGGGAGATAGCTCAGAGGCATAAGCACCCACCTGGCAAACACAAACACCTGAGTTTGATCCAGGTCCTAGATACCCAGGCATGCCGTCTCGGCCCAGATGCGGGTGCCTACTGTGTGGCCCTGGAACTGGGCGTGGTGGTACACACCTGTAATCCCAGCACTCTGAGACTGAGGTAGGAGAAACTCTGTGAGTTTGAGACCAGCCCCGGGATACAAAAGTGAGTAGGAGGCCAGCCTAAACAGCACAGCAAGACCCTGTCTCAGAAAAAAAAAAAAAAAAATCATTATTTTCACAAACACTTGCTGTAAGTGCATAAAAGAAACGTGTATCCTCTTGTATTTCTTTAAAACTATCAACATTTGATATGAAATTTTTAACAACTAAGTTATTTAAAATACTTTATTTCCATTCATGGAATGTTTGGGCTTAAAAATATGGAAAACTGACCCTACTTATATATCACTATTAACATGACTGCATGTCAAATACTTCGGAAATAAAACTGATTGATCTATACCTTGTTTTTCACCTCAGTATCTGCATTGTGGGAAAGCAGTTTCGCTGCTATGGATGCACTTTCACTATAGATCGCACAATGGAGAGCAGTGTTGCCCTTGGCATTGGCCACATTTGGATCTGCACCATGTTCCAAAAGAATGGCTGCACATTCTTCCTGGTCGCACTGCACAGCCTAGAGGTATTGTAACAAGAGAGATACCGTCAGTCAACTCAAGGAACTCAAGACAAGTTTTCCACTGACTCCCTGAGTAGTTATATTTAAATTATATCGATTCCCTTTTTTCAGCATTTAAATACAATTCATCTCACACTGAAATTGTTGGCTGCTATGTACCTTAATCAGCGCAGTGTTGTTTTCATTGTCACAGGCATCAATGTCACATCGCCTCTCTACCAGAAGAGTCACCACTCCTGTATGGCCATAGGCACAGGCGAAATGCAGAGCAGTCCTAGGACAGTCAGAAAGATTATTAGGAAATTACACAGCTCTATTTCAAAATGCCAAATTATTCACGTAAATATGAACATCAAACAGCTTTCAAAACAAGTATTTAATTTTCTTCTAAAATGTAGAATACTTATTACCCATCAATTAATGAAAGAGCAGCTGGGAGATTTGTGTTTGTGTGTGTGGTACAGGGGATGGAAGCCAGCGTCTTGCACATACGAAAGCAGGAGCTATATGCTGAGCTAACTCCCAGCCTAGCACAGCCTACTGGAATAGAAAGGGCATGCCTTGGATTTAGCTTAACTTGAGGTTAATTTTACTTTAAGTTCTTACTTGCTAGCTATCATTTAGCTGTCACCACCCAATCCACGATGCCTCACGTTAAGTGAGATATGCTATGCGTAACAGATATATGTCAGCTACAGCCATATATCTATCTGGTTGCTACTGAAAAACTACTATGAGTGCCTGAATAACAATAAAACAGGATTAAAAAACATAGATTTTTCATTGTAAGCCAAATAAAGATTGAATTTAAGGACTCAAATGTGTAGGTATGGTTCATTTAATCCAGTACTTAGATTTATAGAATGCACAGAAATCAAGTATTTCTAATGCCTAATATTAACATTCAGTACTGTTATACATTTTGAAAAGAGCAGTTAATGATTCTCGTATAATTTGTTACCTTCAGAACATGCTTTTGTTTGAAAAGAAAGTTCCAACTGAAATTAGAGTCCAATTTTGAATCTCTCAATTTGCTAGACTAAACAGGTGAGCATGACGGTTTAAGGAGGGAGGGATCCTGATAGAACACATCATACGTATTCAGGTTATGTTTGGCAAATAAGTGGACTGAAAGAATGGATAAATACTGTTGGGAGATAAATGAAGGCAATATTTCTGCAATAGTAATAATCATTTATGTATTTGCTATCTTTTACTTCCATAAGAATACAATAAAAATGATCTATACTTGTATATGTAAATCTATACATAATGCATATAATTAAGTGCACACAGAATAAAATTTATAAACATATAATTCCTTTACTTTTTCTTTCCTTTTTTTTTTTTTTGTACGAAGACTCAAACTCAGGCCCCTTTGCTTTCCAAGCAGGCGCCTTGCCAGTGAGCTATAAATCCCTGGCCCCAATTTCTTTACTTCTAAAGAAGTTAAGAGTTGGCAGAAATAGCAATACACATACATCTTAAAAAAAAAATACATATATATATATGTTGCACTAATATTCCTGCTTTCATCAAGGATTATTTTATTAGTAAACTTTTACTAGGGTTTTATACATATTCACTGTAGAAATCACAGATAAGAGAAAGGAAAAAAAAGGCAGAAAGAACTATTGCCCAAATAATCATAAGATAGTCTGAAATCAATACTCAAAAGATTAATACTGAGTATAATTTATGGTGTCAATGGAAATAAGTTAGAATAAAAAAGATAATGAGAAACCTTTAAATATTAAAAATAGAATGAACTTCTAGACAATAAAAAAAAGCCAGAAAATTTCTTATTCAAATGCCTGAAAATACATTTTACCACTTTTTTTGGCTAACAAATTTTAATTTTTTTGGTTAACACGAGACTGCAGTCTATTTGTGTGTATGCAAAATTAAACTGATTCTTTTCTCATTTGATATATCAAAGTGCATCTTTCCATGCCAACATACATTCAGTAAATGCCAACTTCAATGGTTATACACTATTCCATCCTATGAATGTACTGCAATTGACACAATCTCTTCTATGGAGTCACTTTAATACATTGCTATTTTAAGTAATGTTGAAGAAAAACAAATTACATATTTTTCTGAGCTCTACAGGTATTAGCATTATGAAACTGATGGGTAGAGACATGCTTTTTAAAAAATGTGGTACAGCACATATCAAATTGCCTATTTGAAAAAGTCATAAGCCATCTTAAATTTTAAGCAGCAGTACAAAGTACTCTTCCTCACAAACTTTGTAGCTGGAAAACAGCATTTCATTTCTTTTGAAAATTAAGTTCCAGGGCTGGCCAGATAGCTCAGTGGATTAAAGCACCTGCTTAGGCATATACAGGGGCCAGAGATTCCATTCCTAGCTTGCCGTACCAGCCGTGCTCCTGGGGCACATTAAAACAGTAACTGAGACTGAGCATGGTGGCACATGTCTGTAATCCCAGGGCTTGGGAGGCTTAAAAACAGGAAAGATCATTACAAGTCTGATCTGTGTAGTGAGACCCTGTAGGCCCCGTACTAAATACATAATAAGGGGCTGGGGAGATGGCTCAGTGGAATAAGTGCTTCCTTGGCAAGCACAAGAATCTGAGTTCAATCTCTGGTTCTGCCAAAAAAAAAAAAAATAATAATAATAATAATAATAATAATAAATAAATAAAATGAAATTAAGTTCCCTTTACCAGGGACACTAAATATTCTTTTTATGATTATAGGTCACTTGTAGATCTGCCAAAGAATACCAAACTTGAGAGTTCAACATAGCTTAGTAGTACGGTTCAGTACTTGAGGCTCATAGGGCATGATTCCAAGCACCAAAATAAATGGGTTAGAATTCTGTATTTTACTCCCTGGTGATTTGAAAAATTCTCTATCAGATACATTTTCACCTGACATATCTTAAAATGTTTTGCAAGTATTCTGTCTTTCATTTTGTTAACTTTTTCTAATATAAAGGAGAATTTAATTTTTCTTTCGATAGTCCACCTTAGATTGTAAGTGGGAAAAGGAGGGTTGCTCAGTGGTAGTGTGTTAGAATGCACAGGGCCCTGGGAGCAACCTTCAGCACAATAAAAGAATGCTTGCTTCTGAGGTCATTTCAGGATGGCACAGGAGATTTTGTGTTTTCTTTTGGTACTTTTCTTATTTTGTATTATTTAAAAATTTTAATTTATACTACAACAGGAACTTCTGCGATATAAAACTGTAGACAGTTTTTTGGTTTTGTTTTTTTTTTTCTCCTCAAACAGTTCACAAGCATTTCATTCATGGGCAATTCCAATTTTTCAACTAAAATGGAGGTCACCAGTAACAAGTTCTAAATTCTTATACATATTTGAGTGTTTCTGGATTTTTCTATTAAATCGTATTCATTTATCAGTCTTTAGGGCCATTTGTAAACAATTTCTAAAAATAGCTTATTTTGATATCTAGGAAGCAGGTCATCACTACATTTTCTTAGTGACACAACAGCAAAAGAGGGTAAGTGGAACTCAAGTGCTAAGCGACATTTTTATTTGGTTTCTATAAAAGTGACAAATAGAAAGGTCACATTTTGGCACTAACACATCTTTCTAGTCAAGAAGGCCATCTTCTCATTTGATTCTTTTGTGAGGTTCCTTACTAAGAACATACATGCACAGGTGTACACTGATAGAAAACAGATACTAGATTTTATCAGATTGTTTTAGCCCTCCATTTGATATATTATAGGAAATATTTCATAGTGTACTTTTTCTTTTACAATGCATACAACAGTTCTCAACGTGATACTCAGAATAAAATACTACACACACATTTGTTACCTTAAACCGCTAAGTAGTCAAGAAAGCATTCTATAACAAAAAGTACAAGCGGATGGAAAAGTAGGTAAAGGTTTGTTTTTATTTTGCCGCTCATAAAGACCGCCAGGGGACCGACCCTCTCCAAGGTTACCAGGGACACTAAATATTTTTTATGTTTACAGGTCACTCGTAGATCTGCCAAAGAATACCAAACTTAGAGTTCAACACAGCTCTGTGGTAGTCTAGGACTTGAGGCTCACTGGGTATGGTTCCCACGCACCAAAATAAATGGATGAGAATTCTGTATCGTTTTTCCTTGATGATTTGAAAAATTTCTCTATAATATGCATTTTTCATCCCTCATGTCTTGTAAAATGTTTTGCAAAAATGCTGTCTTTCATTTTGTTAACTTTTTCTAATATGAAGGAGAATGTAACTTTCCTGTCACTATCAGCCTTAGATTGTCAGTGGGCAAAGGCGGGTTGCTCAGGGTAGTGTGTCAGCACGCCGCGGGCCCGGGAGCCCAGCGGGACCGACCGCCCGGGGACCGACCCCTGCAAGGTTCGCGGCCCCGGGCGGTGCGAAGCCCCCCCCCCCCGCGCCGCCCCTGCCTGGCCCGCCTCTCCTCGCTCCTAACTCTCCGGCCCGCCGCCGCCCCGCCCAGCCCGGCCCACTGCAGCCCCTCGCCCCGCAGCCCCATTACCTGTGCTTCTCGTCTCTGTCGTTCAGGCCACTTTTCCCGAGGAGGAGGAGATGCTGCACCCGGGCCACGTCGCCCTCGCTCGCAGCCTTGTGGAGCTTGCGCACGGACCTGTCGAAGACGCGGTACCGCGCACCCCTGCTGCTCCTCCGCAGGCCTGCGGGGCTCGGGGGTGCCTGGCCCTTAGGGCTGAGGCCAAAGATCCTCTTCATGGCAGAGGCTGCCCCGCGCCCAGGCGCCGCCCCGCCCCCTCGAACGTGGACCTCCCCGGAAGGTGAGCCAACCCGGAGCGCCGCTGCCACACGCCCGCGAGACTCCGCGGCTGGCGTCCCGGCAACGCGCCTGACCGCCCTTGCGCTTGCGCGTCTCCGCGGGCGCCGCGCATGCTCACCACGCTTTAAAGGTGGACAGCTTGGTTACGATTTCCAGGGAACCGCGGAGATGGCTCAGTAGGATAAGCGCTTGCCAGGCAAGCGCAAGGCCCTGAGTTTAATCCCCCGGTTACACACACACACACACACACACACACACACACACACACACTCCAAGACTATCATACTGAATGATGTGCGTACAGTACCAGATTTTGTTTTGCTAGAAGACCATCAGGCGGCGCCCCAGTCTCACTGGACTGCGAGCCTCCCACTCTGAATCCCTGTGGCCACCAGAGGGCTTGTGCTCCCATCTTTCCTGTCCCAACACAGCCAGGGAGGGTATCAGAGGCCTGAGTGCACCAAGAATAGAGGTCAAAGTCACATACTCATTCAGGAATGAGCACAGGGAAGTGGCTGTCTTGTGTGCAACCGTGAGTGCAAAGCTTCCTGTGCGTGGCTTTGAGGGCGCAGTGCAGGGGAGGGGCTTCATGCAGTGGGTGCCTTGCACTGGGCCCACTGTTTCCACTGGACAACCAAGAAAGACTCCTGGAATAAAATGTCTACGCTACGGCTTGGAGTAAGTGATATGCAGTCCCGTGTGTGGCCTGCAGTACTAAACTACTATTCACACAGTGGCATCTGATGCTAGCTAGTATGAAACCAACACTGGGCCCTATTGTATCTAAACAGTTGACCCCTGATGTTAGTATCTAATTATCTAGTATCTAATATAGAAGTCTCTAATTCTGATAAAATATTCATAGAATGGCTTGTGAGTTTAATACCCATAGAGTAGGCTCTATTCCTAAGATAGCATCTACACAGTGGCCCCTAAGGGTAATCAAATACCCACAATATGGTCCCATTTTACCAATGTCATACCACACTGTGGAGTCCTAATAAAATACCAACAGTGTGCCCCTTAATATGAATATATTATTAAACACTGAGTCTTAACATAGCAATTGTATCCTCACTGTGACTCCCCTGACCTCTCATAATATTCATACTGTAGCCTATAATATCCTAAGGCTAATAGGACATCCACCCAATGTTACAGATTTTTTTGAGACAGATTTTCATTGTGTAAACTTATAGGTTTTAGAGCTGTGAGAAAAGACAATTCAATAGTTTTAAGCCACCTACATTGTGGTGCTTTGTTCAGGAAGCCCAAGAGAAGCATCTAGGCATAGATGGCACTGTCTGTGCGACAGAGCTAGTGGCCCACACAAGAAGACCATGTGGGACTTTATTTTCTTCTTTCCAGGTAGGAGTGGTTTCCTGAAAAATTGATTTATATAGACCACTATACTCCAACTGTAGAACTTCTGGTTCAGTAGGAGCTAGCAAAGCTAGTAGAGAGTTTTAAGAAGTCACATGATTCTGTGGGTTCCATACTGTATTGGAAATAATGGGGATGTTTATAATTTGTGTCCTAACATGTGAAAAAATGTTCTTTGGGTGATAGGATTAAAGCCCACTCTCACCTGGCACTTCCTTACTTTTGCTTTAAAAAGAATGAGGCTTTTTCCAATTCATGATGAATTCAGTAAAACCTTTCATGTAATAGATTTTTTTTTCTTTTCTTACATTCTACTTGGTGGTCAAGAAAAAGTCCTTGCTGTTGTCTAGAAGGGCATGGTCAACTCAAGTGCCTAGAAGCCATGAGGGGACTGTAGGGACTCCTCTGGCCTGTGCCCCAGTGTCAATTCCCAAAGCCCAGCCAGAACTTGGTCATCAGAGTGCCCACTCAGGCCCAGTCTCATATTGTCCTTCCCACAGCATTCCTTTTCTGATAACCCTAATGCAGGCCATCCCTCCTCTTCTCCAGGTCTCAGTGGACTTATGCCCAGTGCTGACCACACACAGTGTACTGAAGTGCACTACTGACCACTCCCTTTCTACCAGTATGCATCTTGGCCCTAGAAGCTCTGCATGTAAAGACCAGGTCCGGCAATGAACTGGGCTTCTTCTTTCCTTACTTACTACTCTTGCTAATGGAGCTCTGAGGAGACACTGTTGACTACACAATAGAGGTAGAATTTAAATGACAGAACTAAACAAAAAAAGGGTATACAGATGAATGACCATTTTGTATCTGTGTATTCAAAATGGTTAAGATAGATATATAGTTACATTCTCTTAATTCAATGGAATAAGGACTTTTTTTTTTCTCCTTGAGTGCCTTCAGGGCACTTTTGGATGGCTGGAGTGTTGTGGGGATCGAACTACAGCAACCTGAGGCTGCCAGCATTGTGGAAGCAGCCACTTAAAGAACGGAGCTAGTTCCAGGCCCCCTATCTTAATTCAATGAATAAAGGTATTTGTTCTAATAGTGTTTGTAAATGGGATATCATGTCTGCATCTTGTACAACAAATAACCACTAGGAAGACAGTATGCAACATGTTAATTATTGGAACTGTCCTACCAATTTGATTTGAAACTATCTCATTGGTATTTATTTCTCAATAAAATTATGGAAAAAAATAAAGGTAGAACGTGGATTGTGGCAAGCAAGGTCACAATGTCCTGAGCTGGTGGTATTCAGGCTGCTCCCACCATGGCCTTGCTGGTGCAGATGTAAAAGGTGAAGAGTGACAGAAGATGAGGATAGCAGGGCAATAAAGTGGGAGTGGTGGTGGCCTCATTATTATGCTATACCACTCTGAACTCACATTATTCATTCTTACCACAGTGGCCCAGGGCACAATGACCCAGAAGATTGTACCTTCCTAGCAGCTGCATAGGCCCCACGGTTGTGATGCTGAACTCATCCTCCCGGGCCTCCTGGATGTACTCCTTTGCAAATGATCCAGGAAAAATTGTGCAGCTTATAAGCCTTATGGAGCATGCATGGGCTGAAGGAAGAACATGGATTTCAAAATGTATCAGGTTGCAGCACCCTATATCACAAGTAAATGTGTCAGTCTCTTCATCTGAAAAACATAGCTACAGTATGCCAGGCTAAGTATGGTTACAGAAAAGGCCTGAGTGGGCACAATAGCCATAACTGTTTTGAATACGGAGAAATGTAGAGAAGTAGTTATCTTTTTCGGGTGTTATTGTGAAGAGTGTGATTTCCCTAATTTCTCTGTCAGTGAGTTTGTTGTTTTTGTACAGGAATGCCATCAATTTTCAAATGTTAACTTTGTATCCAGGTATGCTACTGAATTTGGTTATTAAATCTACAAGTCTTTTGATGGAGCTTTTGGGTTTTTCATTGTAGAGGATCATGTTATCTGCAAATAATAATAATTTCTTTCTATCCCATTCTTATTCCTTTTATTGCTTTTTCTTGTCTAATTGCTCCAGTTAATATTTCTAGAAGTACATTATATAGGAGTGGTGAGAGTAGACATCCTCGTTCCTGATTTTAGAGTGAAAGTTCTCAGTTTTTGATTATTATGTTGTTGACCATTGCTTTGTTGTAGATGGATTTTTTTTTATTTTTTTTCAACAAATAATACACTGCATATATTCTTCTTAGTGGTTAATTGCTGTACAAGATGCAGACTTGTGATCCTATTTACAAACACCATTAGAACAAATCATTCTATTCATTAACAGAATGTAACTATATATCTATCCCAACCACTTTGAATACACAGATACAAAATGGACATTCATCTGTATACCCCATTTTTTCTAAGTTCCGTTATTGAATATTATAGGTGTGTAAACTCAGCAAAATATTCTAAAAGAGTCCAGTAGCCCATAATAGCATTGGGTCTTCTGTTTAACTGGCAATGTCATAAATTGTTGACCTGAGTCCCCCACAGCTCAACTTAACAGCATGGCTTTATTTCTTATAATTTCGTCTTCATACTTTTCTGCTGGATGGTTAAGACCAAGGTAAAGCAGGACCTATGCAACAAGAGTTGTAGCTTTTTGGTCTGAGAAGGTCAGTGAAATGCCCTCAGGATTTGTCCTGAGATCCTGTACCTCAGATTGTAGAACCTTTATCAGTGCAGCCATGTGGATGAGTCACGGCCAATGCTTGGCCAATGTGCTCTCTGTGAAAGCCTGAGAGAGTATCTTCTCCCCATGTGACTCTCCTTAGGCCCACTCTATGTCATCGATCACTTTCCTCTTTGGCCCCATAATCTTCTTGATCAGAAAATTTGGGACACTACTGAGGTACATGACGTTACAGTACAAGTTCTCATATGTCCTGAGTCTTAATTGACCTTAGAAGACTAGGGCCAAAATGTTGGCTTTCCTTGTAGCCCTCCTTTTTCTCTAATTTTGGTCTGCAAAGTTAGATTGTTAACCATCCAGAAGATAAGCTTATTGTTATTATCAAACGATTTAGGCTATCAAGTTTAACCTCACTATCTCACTGCATTTCAAACATCTTAGGCATAATAAGGAACAGGTATTTTTCATCAAGTATTGATATGTTGAACTTTAAGTCCCTACATAATATGATAAAAACATTTAAAAATTAGATTATATTTTAAAAAATAGGATAAAGAATTCTATGCTTCTCATGTTTGCACATAAGTCCAAAAATCTCACCATACACAACCTTGAAGCAGGACAGTCCCACAATATTCCTTTTCCTGTCTCTTGCTTTGCTTCACCACCGCCTTCTTCTTGAACATCCATCTACCCGAGACACATTAATGGCAGAAGTGTTTTTTTTTTTTTTTTTCTCGGAATGCCTTCAAGGCATGACTGGCTGTCTTGTGTTGTGGGGATCGAACCAAACAACCTGAGCCTGACTGCTTTGTTGAAGCAGCCACTTAAAGAACTGAGCTACGGGGCATGCCCCCTGTAGATGGATTTTTATCAGATTAAGGTAAAGACCATCTAGCATGATCATCCACAGGGTTTTATCATGAAT